GTGTGTGTGTGTGATTGCATGTGTGTGTGTGTGTGTGTGCGTGTGTGCGTGTGTTTTTTATTTTTTCTTTCCAATCAATCAACCAATCAATCAACCAATCAATCAATGAATGAGTCAATCAGTCAATCAATCAATCAATCAGTCAATCAATCTGCAATAACCCATGCCATATGTCTCGTGGGAAATCTGAGGGCCAACCTGGCCGCCCTCAGCCAGGCCAAAAACGAGGGAAGGGACCCCACGCAGGGATTCAGGACCTGGGCGTGTCACTGTTGACTTTTGTCAACTGTTGCAAACCCAACAGTCAAAGTCCAAAGGTACCCAGTCCAGGCCGTCGGTACCCAACTTGTTTGTATGCAGGTACCTAGACAGCATGAAGTCCAAGGGGGAATGCTGCAACTGTACAATCCAGGCCTTTGACTGTGACTCAATTTGGACGATTGAGGGGAGAAGACCCGAGGCCAGAGAGCCTTGTCAAACACTACTTAAAGTCTGGCCTCGAGGTGGTCAACATTCAGTCTTGCTATGCTGGTTCAACGCGGGCTTGACTTTGACTTGACGCTGGCATTCTGCTAGCGCGACGCTGGCTGTGCATCAGGACTGCGGACGGCGGCACAAGGGAGAGGTGACGCTGGCATTGTGCGCCAGGCATGCTGATGTGGTGCTGCCTATGGTCTTCATGGCATGCTGATGTGGTGCTGCCTCTGGTCTTCATGGCATGCTGATGTGGCGCTGCCTTATGTGGCAGTGCCTCTGGTCTACGCGGCATGCTGACGTGGTGCTGCCTCTGGTATATGTGGCGCTGCTCTTGGTCTATGTGGTGCTGCTATTGGTCTTCATTGATGATGTGGCATTGTGCCACCTGTCTTGATTGCTGACGTGGCATTGTCCATGCTGTCTACATGAGGTGACTGATTGCGAGGGAAGAGGAAGATTGGGACTGTGGGGAGATTATGAATATGTACCTGATTGGCTTCATGTCGACATTGCTCCAGAGCTGATGAGGGACTAATTAGACGTGCCATGTGGCACATTGAGGTTACTTCAAATATTCGTTCAGACTGTTGATTATTGAAGAGGTGTTGGGGGGAGGGAGCCCGAAGCAGGAGTGGGCATTGTAGTTATCTCCTCTCCTTTGTCTAATCTCCCTCCTCTCTACTTCGTCTGTGTATGATTATCTCGCCTCATTCTGTCTGGACACGATTTGACTATTGGTAATCATCAGCTGGTTGGCATTCTGGACTTGCATTGTCGACAATTGTGTTCACGATTTGGGTTCATTGCAATTTGGTATCAGAGCAACTCTTCTTCGCGATCTGCTGATTGGCTGTCAGGTGCTGACGTGGCACTCAGGTAAGTGGGAGGTGCCGCATGTGGAATATGAAACGCGTTTATTAACACGCGCGGTCATACCGCAAGTCTAGACATGGTAATAGTGCACTTGCGAGCAGCCGTCCCTTGAAGATGATGACAAGGCTACAATGAAGATTGAAGATCTGCATTGGCAACAGGCTGACGTGGCGCCGGTACCGTTGATGTGGCACATTGTTATGTGGCATGCAGGGCATGGTCTGACGTGGCACATACCTGTCACTGCTTGCTAGTGATGTGCTGACTTGGTATATTGGTAGAAGGCAGACCTGCACTCTGAGGTGGCATCCCTGCTTGTCGACCTATCAGGGTCCTTGATCTGCTGACGTGGTAGAGGCCAGGGGTGACACGAGGCATGTGTAAGGATTGTTGAAGGTGTGAATGTGCACTTGGGTTGTATTGCTGTTGCAGATGATTGAGAAGAGAGCTAACCATTGATTGTGTTGGTTCTACTTACCTGTTGGTTGTCTGTGGATGCTGTGCATACTTACTCTTGTGCTGTTGTCTTGATCACACTGGCCGTGGCTGCGGTACCTGCACGTATACGGTAGAACGTCATCACACATAGATTAGAAAGAACAGACAACAAAATAGTATTAGAAAATTGTTAATACCTGTTTCTTTGTTCCTGCCCTTAATAATTTTTGCCGTAAGAGTTGCGTGCGTCGTGGAATTTATGTTTGGAAGTGTTTGCGTGCCTCTATCTTGACTCGGTTCATACCCCTCTTTTTCTTCCCCATCCCTCTCACCGTCTTTGTTGATGAAGAGAGAGGGGAATTGAAAACCTGTGGACATATTGACGGAAGGAGACAAACTTTGTTGGGACTCCTTCGTCAGCTGCTTGGCGATATACATGGTGTCGGTCCAGATGTTGAATAGCATGTTCACGGACAGGTCAATCTGCGTGATGCAGAAAGAGACCTGCAGGCCGTTGAAACTGCTGTTCAGATGATGGAGACTGGTCAGAGGGTCGAAGAACTCATAAAGCAAGGACGATTAGTCCTTGATCGGTATGTCGCCGAGAGCCTTGATAAATTAGAACCGTGAAAAAAGGGAAGAAAAGAAGAAAAGAGAAAAGGGTTAAAAGGAGAGAACCACAACTGTCTGTGAATGTGATGGAGGAAAACATCATCAGTTAGAGAACACATTGAGAGACTCAATTCTCTCTTGCATTACTTGGTACACTTTGAATTTGATTTGCTGTGTCTTCACGGAGCTGAGTCCAGCTAGGCTTGAGAGGACCTCATACGTAGTCGGACTAGATTGTGTGGCGGAATCATCTCTCTGATCTTTTATTTTTTTGTTGTTTCGACTGCTCTCCAATCCAAATGAAGCTAGGAGTTCTACCTTCTTTTCTAGTTGCTTTCAAGACTGTTTCTTTCATTGGGTTTGTCAAATGCCTGCGTCTACACGATCGCAAACGAGAAGTGTGAGGAAGTACGGACCTCTCTTGAGAGACTTATTGACACCCTCGTCCTCCATCATGGCATCTGAAGCAGAATGGAAGCTGCAAATGGATGCTGCCCTTGAGGCAGAAAAAACGCAGTATCGATTCTTTTATGAAAAAGCATTGAAGAGGGAAGAGGAAGAGAAGGAGAAAGGAGAAGGAGAGGGGTGACAAAGTAAAGGCTCAGAAAGCCGTCTTCAGTACTGTGTCCGCCTTAACTGATGATTAGGTGGAAGAGAAGTCTGTCCCACTCCTCAGGGTTTTAGTAAAGGTGCGGACTGTTGAAGACCATACAGGTCAACTCGCCAAGGTGTTTGATGAACTCAAGAAGTTGCGCGAGGATATGACCTTGATGGCGCAGCAGCACCGTGACCATCTGCAACAGTTTGCTAGCTTGCAGCCGACCGAAAGTGTTCTTCCGTCTGCTTACCCTGCTTCTAGTACTGCGTGTCAGTCCGTTCTTGCCCCTCCAACCGTATCTTCTTCTTCTTCTTTTTCTTCTTTGAGTGTGGCCAACAACCTATTCGGATCTGCAGCAGGTCCGGACCCCGTTGCTGCTGCTGCTGCAGCTGCAGCAGCGACAAGTGGTCGTGCAGGGCATTCTGGAATTGTTGCAGCTCCGAATTCGGACCCAACAATCGCCGGTCCTAGCTGCAGCTTTCCCGACGTGGACAAGAAGGTGGCACAGATTCCGTCTAAGTATGACGGAAAAAATGATATTGAATTTGGATTAGCTCTATGCGATCCTACTTTGATGTGCTAGGGGCACCCTCGGGTACTCAGTCGTCGATCCTAGGGACCAATGTGGAACCCATCGTAAGGGGCTTCTTAGAAGTCCAAGCTGTACAGTCAGGCTATAAAAGAATAGACCTGAACAAATGGCTGAAGGCTACGCCAATAGCCACACTCGAGGAACTCTTGATCAAACAATATGCTGATCCGCAAGCTGCAACCAAAGCTAGACTTAAGCTTGACAAACTCAAGCACAACAAGTGGATAGACACCATGCATAGTCTGCAGCAGCATGTTAGTTTACTCCTGTCTCTTATACACATCTAGATGTGTATAAGAGACCTCTCTCTCTCTCTCCGCCGCGTCCGTAGCCCTTCCTGTCATATCCTCTGCGCTGTACGCTTCTCTACGCCGCCTCGTCTTCCTTCTATTCTTCTCGTCTCTGTTCTTAGTCTGCTTTTCCTTAGTACACCCCTCCTCTCGCTGGTTTGCTCTCGCCTCGCCTTCGGCACGGACCAGATCTTCCCCGCCGACTCTATTCCGACGTCGGCATTGCCGCCTATCTCTGTGTGTCTCTGGAATGCAGAATATGACATTAAATTTTCGCGCGAAAAATCGACAGAGTGGCGGAGGAATGGAGCGGTATTCGAGGTGGTCGAGTGCTTGCTGTTTGCCGTGAAGTAGAATGCAACGTGATGATTGATTGTTGTATTGCGAACGACGTCTCAGTCACTTGCAGTCGTAACGCCCGTGCGATCCTGGATTGGGATGGCCAAGATAAAGAGGAAGAGATAGTGGTGGGAGACGGCGAACAGGAAAGAGGAGCACAAGGATGAGAAGCCGCGGAATGGGCATTAGACCCCCCCCGTCCTCCCTCTTGATCGCCCGGAAGGTAGTATTCCGATGAGAGCTAAAGTGGTTGTGCTTCGGTCATTTTATCAACTCTTGGACTGGTCATTTTATTTATGTATGTCACCGGCGGCGGTTCTAATTTTCTAAATTGCTTGCTTTCAGAGTCATTCTGTCAGAGTTACGTGGCCACCTGTTGCTGAACTTACCGAATGCCCTCACCAATCAGTCAGTCTCGTGTAGCACTTCGAATATTGACTCGTTATTTCCCTCCCCCCCCGCTCTTCATGGCCGGCGATGCTCCTCTTAAGAATTGTCAGATTTCACAAGAAGACTGAAGCTGGTGGATACCCATCAAGTTTCGGGAGCTCTGCTTGGGGCGGTGGATGATTAGAAGTTGCGGCGTGCCGATCGCAACTCAGAGCTCCATTTGCGTGAAAGGAGGCGGTGTAAGTGTCATTGAGATGGCGACATGTCCGAAGTTGCGTTCGAATTGTATTGCGGCATTATTGGGTGATGACGCTGTTTTCTTGAGAAAGCCACTGACCAAATCAACGGGGGAATGAAGCGCGTCGTGCTTTGATGCAACGAGACGCGGGAACAGGTTGAGCGGAGTTGGAATGATGAGCGGCGGGAAAAAGGGGAGCAGGGGGGTTGAGGCCAGCGGCCTGCCTGCGATTGTAAACAATTACTTGACGCTCTTAGGGTGATCGGTTAGGGCTGGAAGAGGAGTGAGAAAAGAGGACCCCTGTTTGTGAACGAATCTGGGGGAGATTCATATCGGATTCATGAAGGAAATTCGAAGTTTAAGAATGCGGCAGGTGCTCTCGAAGACGGAGGAGGGTATATAGTGGGTGGGGCCGCGGGGCTCAATAACGAGTGATTATGGGCGGGAAAGGGGCACTACAGCTGCAACAGGAGATCCAGCGGACGGGTGCAGTGGGTTGGCTTCTCAGGACCCCACCGAATCTGATATCGGATTCATGAGGAAATTCGAAGTGTAAGAATGCGGCAAGTGCTGTCGAAGACGGAGGAGGGTACCTGGTGGGTGGGCCGGCTGGGCGCGACCGATAACGAGCGTTTCTGGGCGGGAAAGTTCACATGCAACAGAAGATCCAGAAGAGGGATGCAGGGAGTTGGTTCTTGCGTATCTGCTTGCTGAGCCGGTGTGTGTTCTGGTGGTGATCGCATCGCCGCCTCGTTAGTCGTTCTCCGCATACATGTGGTGTACCTACCTTTGTTGGGGAGGGATAGAGTGCGGTCAGCGAAGAGACTGGGTTGATACAGCGGCTCAGGATCGGTTCGTACGAATCGGGCGGGCTTGCAGAGGGGAGAACGAGACAAGGGTGGAACCATGTTCGGGTTGTCTTCATCATTGTTCGGGCGGTCCCAGACTGGGACCGGGACGACCGGTCAGATGCCTTTCGCGATTGGCGGGCAAGTTGGAGGTTTGAATTTTCAGCAGCAGCAGCAGCAGCAGCAGCTGCAGCTGTTACAGCAGCAACAGGCGGCGGCTGCGGCTGCGGCTGCGGGGGGAACTCATCAAATCCATCTCCTGGCGAAAGATACAGACCACCAGAGAGGACAACCTGTTTCCTTCTCCAGTAAATGGGAGGACATTCACCCGGATAGCCAACGCCTTTTGCTGCAGATCGAGTAAAGTAGTCATCATCATCCAACCTCGTCCCTTCCTATGTTCTTCCCTGCCACCTCACTCTCGCCCTCCTTATCCTGTTGTTGTTTCTTTCTCTCACGCTCTCAGTCACTGCCCCTTTCGTGCACCTTCTCTCTCTCCAGCCCTCTGTCTTTCCCTCGTTCTCCTTCCCTCCATCCGGCCCTCTCTCTCTCTCCCTCCCTCTCTCTTTCAGCGGTGTTGTGCGTGAAGAGATGGAGAGTTCCGTCCACACTTGGACCAAAAACGAAATAGGTGGATCGCCCGGTGTGGTGAAGTGCTCTCTCTCTCTCTCCCCCCCTACGACTGTCCTTTCCCCAATCCATCTATCCATCCGCTTAGGGCGGCTACGTTGCGAGCGGGACGGGATTTGTGCTCGGCCGCCATCGGAAGGCGTAGGTGGTGGTCATGCCTTGAATGCGGAGAGGCAGGGGGAGAAGGAATACTAGGGGGGGTCAGGTGCATGGTCATGCAGGGAGGAGAATTTCGCCATCGAAATCTTGAGGGGCTGGGGTAGCAGGAGAAGGACGGAGGGGAAGGGTGTCGATGCGGGATCAGGAGGATGAGACGGCCGGGATTTGGTCGGTCAGAATGGGGATGCGGCGATGGAGGAAGCGGCGGGAGAGTCACCGGGATAGGGTGAAGTATGCAAGGTCAGTTTGCCGACGTTGAGGAGGTTGTGGAGGGGAGAATCGTCGAGGAGGGTCTGTAAGTAGACGGGAGGAGGATGTGAGTCGGAGACCCAATTTGTGAAGAAGGGGATGGGCAGCGCGGATTGGGAGGAGGCCGATCAGGATCGTGTGATTGCGTGGGGGAGAAGGTCGCAATGTCAGGCAATCACAGTAGAGGATGTATGAACCGATGAAGTGCCAGGGGAAAGAACGCCGAGGCAACAGGTTAAGGAACGCGGGTCGTGTCAAGGTCGGGAAGAAGAGATTGCAAGGCAGGAAGAGGGCCTCATCGTGGAGGGAGGGGAACAGGTAAGGAAAGGAGAGAGCAGGAAAATGACGAAGGGCCTGGCTCATGTGAGGTATAAGGGTAGATGTGGATATGCAGGTGATCGAGAGAGACGGAGAGAGTGGAGAGAGTGTGGATATGCAGGTGGGATAGCAACCATCCATTCTGACGGATGGTTGACTGTCGTTAATGACCACACGCAGAGAGGGACGGAGAGAGTGGAGAATAGCAAGAGGACGGGAAGAGTGAGGGAGGAAGAGATAGTGAGAGGGACAGGGCAAGATAGATGCCAGTGGGATAGTACTCTTTCGGGCCACTATATTCTCGTCATGAAGGCATGCCCGTGTCTCGCCCTAGATCATTCCTAAAACGATGGTCACGAAGTATTGATTGTGTGATATCACTTCATAAGTATTGATTGTGTGATATATCACTTCATCCTTGGGGCGCTGCTTCCCCATCGTTTACTCTTTTTGTTTTTTGCGTTGTTTGGCTATGCTGTCGTCTCTTCACGCCTGCAGTCTTAAGTCCTGTTTTGTATTGTTTTTGATTGTTATCGTTTTTAATATTTGTCTCCATTCGACTGGTGGGGATGTTGCGGGGCCGGTTGCATATCTCTTCTTTAATATTTTGTGCGTACGTCAACAGCAAATGCTCATCAGCTCTGCCTCGAAATGAATTGCGGAATTTGATGACCTCATCCGAATGATGTTTTAATCTAGTGATGATGTTGGTTAATAATGCAAGCTTAGGTCTTTGAGAAAAACATTCCTCAACCAATCCTCCTCTTATTCGAGCCCTCTTTCCTCTCATCAGGATGGTGAATGGATTGATCGGTTTCGTCGGTTTTTTTTTTTCCCGCTTCTGTTTCTTCGTACTGGCCGCCACAATCGAATATGAAATGAGTTAAAAAATAAAAAATAAAAAAAAATGAAACGAGTTTAACCATCGGCATGCTACACACCTTATCAGCCTTGTCAGCCTTTTTTAAACCTCCAGTACTTAGCTCATTATCGATTCCGAGCCTGTGCCTACCGGTAGGCGGACCCTTGCCGAGGCTGGAGCTACCGGTAGCACCACAAGCTTCTTTTTCTTATAATTACGAAAAACAAAATTGAGAAAAAAGGAAAAAAACGAACGAGATTCAACTCAAAAGAAAAAAGAAAAAGGAGAAACAAAGAAACAGTTGAATTAGTTGTTAAGAAAAAACACGCCGAAGTCCGTTCTCCTTTATAATGCGCGGGGGGGGGGGGGAGAGAGAGAGAGAGAGAGAGAGAGAGAGAGAGAGAGAGAGAGAGAGAGAGAGAGAGCGTTTGCTGCGCCACTGCGCAGCGAACATGCCGGGGAGAGAGAGAGAGAATTTGTTCTGTGCGGACTTTGGCGACAAAGGAGAGAGAGAGAGAGAGAGAGCTGTCTCTTATACACATCTAGATGTGTATAAGAGACCGGCTAGGGGACAGCCGGTAGCATCCGGGACCATGCCAACAGGACCAATCCCTGTGCCTCCCCTCAAGTCCCCTCCCCTATGAACATCATCAAACTCTGCTAAATGCCAATAGGGGGATCCAGTGGTCTATCTCTAGGTGGTGGGCACCAAGCATGCCCAGGAAGGTACATGAGGCCAATGGGGATTGAACCCACGACCTCCTGAATGCCACTTGCAAGCCTTACCAACTGAGTTAGGCCGCTGGATTTTGAGACATTTTTCACAATCTAAAAAAATATTCAAAATGTTCAAAAAAATCCAAAAAAAAAAAAAAAAGTCAAAGAACAATGCAATACAAACATCTTTTGCCTCAGAGTATTGTTGAAATTTGCTGCCAAATTTTAGGGGGGGGGGGGGCGTATTTTTTCCCTCTCCCCACCGAAATCAGATGAGGCCGGGGTCTTTGTAGTCTACCTGGGAGTGAACTTGCTGGGAGCATTACCCAATTTTGCTTACGGGGACTGACTGAGCCCCTGAGGAGACCAACCCCCTCCTGAAAAATGGAACAGACATAACAACATGACTTGCCCTGAGCCTTCATGTCTCTTTTGTTGTTTTTTTTTGTTTTTTTGTTTTTTAAATCGAAATCAGCATATATTTCCAATCAAAGAGATGACGGGTGGTCCGGGCCTTCCGCCTCTCACAATAATGAATCGGCAGCTAATAGNAGAGAGAGAGAGAGAGAGAGAGAGAGAGAGAGAGAGAGAGAGAGAGAGAGAGAGAGAGACCATTATAAATCTCGCGTTGTCGCCAAAGTCCGCACAGAACAAATTCTCTCTCTCTCTCCCCGTCCCCGGGCGTTTTCGTTCTGTGCAAATGAGAATGAATCTCCGCGACAACGCGGGAACATTCGTTCTTATTTTGCAGATTTCTATAGCTCTCTCTCTCTCTCTCGGCGCGTTCGTTTTTTTTTAATAATGTTTTCTGTTTTTCGGCGCGTTCGTTTTCTTTTTTAATGTTTTCTGTTTTTCCGCGCGTTCGTTCTTTTTTATTTCCTGTTCTTTGTTTTCCTTTTTACTTTTTCATGGAATGTTGAACATGCCCGCCGTTTTCGCAGGTACCGGGCGTTGGACTTCGCAGACCCCCGACAGCTGCGGCGCGTTTTCGGGCAAGGCCGCCGCCGATATATGGCCCAAGTACTGGTGGTTTAATCTTCATCATCTTCCTTGAAACAAGCGTTCAAGACGTCGCTCAAAATATAGCTCCAGCAGTGTTTTCTTCTTCCCCTCTCTCTCAATTCGGCGCAGGGAGAGGGGTGGCTCTCACTGAGACGGAACCCGAATAGCCGGAGTGAGAGTCATTTTCACCGGGAGCTGCACATTTTAACAGAATACGGGATATCCATTTAATGAAACCTTCGGAACAAAAGACTCAGCGCCTGACATCTAGAGATTCAGCCCTTGCATCTCAAAGGAAGGAGATTCAACCTGGTTTGGGGGGGGAAGAGAGAGAGAGAGAGAGAGAGAGAGAGAGAGAGAGAGAGAGAGAGAGAGAGAGAGAGAGAGAGAGAGAGAGAGAGCTTTTGGTGGAGGTGAGGACGGGAGGAGGTTGCATTTCTTCTTTCGCCGTTCTCTGTACTGGAACTCTTTTCTGCTATGGCTGTGACATTTGGGCCTGCTGTGATAACGTTCGCTGCTCTGAGCGAAACAAAGAGAACGAACATAGTAGTCGAGCTGAGAGAGAGAGAGAGAGAGAGAGAGAGAGAGAGAGAGAGAGAGAGAGAGAGAGAGAGAGAGAGAGAGAGAGAGAGAGTTCTGGACGATGAGATCTGTATATGCGTGCTTATGTAGACCCTGGACATCTCGTCGATTTCTTTTCTCTCTGTGCGGCTACGACTTGTTCTTTGTTTTGACCGCCGCCACACATGTTTAGCTTGGTGCGTTTTTGCAAACGAGGGTGGGTCATACCAGCTTTTTCAGTTGAGAAACGTGCTTGAAAAAACACATCAATTGTTAACTATCTGTTAATGTGTTTTTTCCCCCCTGCAGAGAGCGTATTTTGGAATATAGGGATGAAAGTCGACGGCTGGATCAGTGCCAGCGACTTCATGATATAACTGCTTTACGGAGAGGATTCGAGGACGAAGCTGCAGGCATAAGGCAGGTATGAATTTGGTGGATTTGTAAATACTAAATAGTCATTGGTTTATGTTTCGCTCATGGCAATTACTCATCAGTGCTCTGTACCTCTGGTTCTCTTCCTTGCCCTTCCGAAATGTTGCCCTCGCTGCTTCCTTTCCCTTCTGGGAAAGTTCTCTGTTTGTGTGTGTGTGTGTGTGTGTGTGTGTCTGTGTGTGTGTGCGTCTGAAAAGGTTTGATGGAAACTTTCCTTCTTCACTGGAACTACAAAGTTGGCCAATAAGAGAAATATGAAACCTTGCCGCCCATGGTCCTACAAGGCCCATAGCCCGGATTTTCCGGGATTTTTAAGTAATGTGAAGTCCGGAATCGTTGCCAAATCGTGAGAATTGGAGATCACGCCTCAATCCGGACCAGCAGGGCACGTCCATTTTGGGTCGTCGGCGGATGTAAAAGTCTAACAGCCAAGCGAGCGTCAGTATCCAAAACCTGTTGATGCACGCAGACTATTTTTCACATGCGTTCTGTGGAAGTGGTGCTTAGTGTCAGTTTCTCTTGTTCGGTTGTTTGTTGTATACAAGAGAGAGAGAGAGAGAGAGCGCTGCTGCGACCTGCCTCCTTTCCGAACCTGCGCTTGCCACTTGCCAAGGGGCACACAGCGAGAGAGAGAGAGAGAGAGAGAGAGAGAGAGAGAGAGAGAGAGAGAGAGAGAGAGAGAGAGAGAGAGAGATGCTGCACCTGTCTCTCACAGGCCGACCTGCCCTCGGCCTGCATGGGGCTACTTTGCACACCCATGCTATCATCCTCCCGAGCAGTGTCGTAACCCCGTTCATGAGTGGGGGGGTCTGTGAATGTGGCCCGGTCACACGTTCACAGAATTGTGAATGGCCGTTCGTGACTGAAATGGTTGCGGGAAAGGTGTTCTTTTTTTTTTTGCTTGGGTGGGGTGTGTGTGTTTTTCTTATAGACCGGGGGGGGGGAACCTTTCAAGGACCTTCCCCTTTTTTGGGGGGATATTTTGCTCATTTTTTTAAAAAATTAAATTAATAAAAAAACATAAAAAAGCTTCACGTGTGTGTGCAGGATGATCCTTCGTCACACAGCACCCAATCCAAGCTAGATTGTGTGCCTGTTTGTGTGTGTTTGTGTGTTTGTCTGTGTGTGTGTGTGTGTGTGTGCAGGATGATTCTTCGTCACACAGCACCCAATCCAAGCTAGATTGTGTGCCTGTTTGTGTGTGTTTGTGTGTTTGTCTGTGTGTGTGTGTGTGTGTGTGCAGGATGATTCTTCGTCACACAGCACCCAATCCAAGCTAGATTGTGTGCCTGTTTGTGTGTGTGTGTGTGTGTGTGTGTGTGTGTGTGTGTGT